GTTGTCAACTGCGGCGGTGGGAGCGTGAGGAGGATGGTTCCCTCATGCATCCCGCCTCCGTTATTGCGATCATTCTGCTAAAAGGAGAGAGCATCCCAGTCCTTCTCGTTTCGGTAAGCACCTGCATCAGGCGGAAGGTGAGGACGCCATGGCGTGTGTCTAGCCTCACCAGAAAGACACCCTTGCAACCTGAACTTATAATTTGTCATTGCACAGTTAGCACTGTTTTAAGTCACCGCGGCCTCGGCCTAAAGCAGGAAAAGGAACTGTCAAAATAAGCACGGCCTCATTCAAAAGGCCGGTAACACACTCCTTTGCCACCCTTGTAATACTGAACATGGGTGGTGCCGATAGCTTACCATCAGGTAATCCGTGTGCTAGTTTGCCGACCTAATATAGCGAAAAAAACAGCATATCTTTGTGTGATCCACGGATTGTTGATCCAGGTGTGGGTTTGATGTGTGCCTATGTAATGTTTATGTATATGAACAATAAATGTAATATAAGTGCAAACCTCCTACAAGTCTCGGTGCATGCTCAGGGTACATGGTTACACCTTCCAAGTGACTCAGCTATTTAATGTAATGATCAAACATGGACAAGTCCAGGATAAATAATTCTTTTTTTTATTGTATAAGTAACATAGGCCAATTCAAATCTTAGAAATAGAATAACATAGGCCAATTTTGAAACAATTAAACAATGAATTTAGTTTTGCAAATAGGCCATAAAACGGCACTGACTATTCTTAGAAGAAATGCTGAAACAAACTCAGAGGTCAGTCTCTATTCAAGTCCAGACAATGTAAAAATAACACAATTTAAGAGAACCGTACACAGAAAGTTCATTCTGCAGCTTAAGTGGACCCGTTCTGAAGACAGGCACGCAAGTCTCAGTTTGCAACCAGTATAGCTAGTGCTGCTGAGTTGTCCGACGAACAATACCGATCAAAAGAACATTTAGGTGGGTACTGGGTCGCGCAAGTACTCAAACTGTCAGAACGCAGATAACTGGTTGTCGAAAACCGCGGCAGTCTCACACGGTCCTTTCACTAACTATAATAGCGTATACTAAATAATAAAAAAATGTCAATAAATAAAAATAAAATTAACTATACATATGTCACAATAGGTGATAATGTCAAATTGTATACATATACTTATAAGTGCAAGTTATGTTACAAACATGTCAACATGACCTGTGCAGACAGCGGCGTTATATATAAGGCTTTGAGGCTCAAATTTTGAATATTGCTAGGAATTTTATTGTAAAAGCGTATACATTGACATCTAAACGAACCACTAATTGATTGAAGCCTGGAGGCAGGCACGACATATTTGTTCCCCGTGTGTTAATATTGTGTAGGAGAGCCAAGCTTCGGCACGAATGGGTCGGCTCGACCGGGGTGATACGACGGCCTGCAACAATCATAGCGTTGTGTTTCGCCGTATGAGTGAGGTTACCGGAGTCCCAATGCCTCCCCCTCTCTTCATCCCTTGCCAATCCTTAAGTATCCTAAACCCTTATCCCCAAAAGGCAGGCAACGCATTCGTAAATCTTTTGGTATTGCGGGTGTCCATGGGCGGCGGTGATTGCTTACCATCAGGTAATCCGTCAGCACGTTTGCTGACCAATCCCATAAAACAAATTGCTCTTACATAAAAAATGATGCCTTCCTATTTTAATAAAAATAATGCAATAATTGGTAAGTAGTGAACTATATATAACCTAATTTTATAAATAATTTTATTTTAATATATTTTTGCCCCCCGCTAGGATTTTCTCCTGTGTGGTGGGTGCGGTTACAAACATAAATTAGGATTTAGATTGATGCGTGTTTGCATGGTACTGTTGTACCTACACAGGCCGCTCTGTGTGCGTGACGCGGCGACGCGGCCTACATACTGCCGCGCTGCCACTGATCGATCGGTTTGCTTTAATCTCCGCTCATTGTAAACTCGACTCAATGGCCGCGTGATACTGATAATGCACAGATTAGTCGACCACTAGATAAACAATCGATAGTACGTTTCTTACACGTAACAACAACAAATGTGTAGCTACCTACGTACGCAGCAACATTATGGACCGTCCCATTTTTCTGCGATGGGAAAATCATCAAATTACTTCACGATTGGCGCGGTGGCTGCGCAACTGGCTGTCGTGCGACATGTCGCGGGTTCGATTCCCGCACGGAACAACACTTTGCGTTATCTACAAATTGTTGTTTCGGGTCTGGGTGTCGTTTGGATGTGAAATTGAGAAAATTCTAGTGTAAGGCAACGTTTTTTTTTCTCTCACTCTTCATCTGGGATAAAATACGAGCTTGCAAGCGGAAAACGGATTGCAAAAAAAAGTATAATATACAGAAAAACATCTGCATACAAACTATTATTACCATACACTAACATGGTCAGGAAAAAATACGAAGCTAAAAGAGTGGTTTTTATATTGGCAAAGAGATATTGTAGTAGCTCATCGTCAGAAAAGCTGTAGAAATTGCTAAAGGAACACGCAGCGCCTACACTGGGGCAGACGAGACTAGGCGGCGTCAAGCAACGCTTCAAACGCGCTGATGAATGAAACACAGACAGCTCGCGGCAGACGACAGGGAGATGTACCGGCTGAACACTGTGACACGACGCCCACTCTCCACTTGGGCTTGAACTATCATCCTACCACCTTTGTAAATTTGAGATGAGAACAAACACTGAATGAATCTCTCAATTCCCAAATGGTTGGTGGGCGAGGCTTCACTAGAGGACAGACCGACAGACTGACATGCATAAAGTAAAACCTCTTGAAAAAAAATTCTAATCAAACCAAAAATGTTAATTGCTAAAATACGGTACAAAAGGTGTTACAGTTCAGTTTTTCCTCCGCGTGTCCTGCCGTGGATGGCGTGCACATTCATCATTAAAACAACACTATCAAGATTCTATCGACTTACCTTCCAAGTAGTCATTAATATCTACTACTTATATAAGTAAAAATACTAGTTATGAAAACATTATGTATGTTAGGAAAAACCTACACTTATTTGTAAAGGTATCTGACAAACATGATTATCATACTAGACATAGGAATAGATTGAGTCAGCCTTTGTTTAGATTGGCAAAAGTGCAAAAGTGCATAAGTCATTCCTGGGTTTCTGTGTTAAATGTTATAATAAAATCCCAGTTGAAATTCAAAATTTAAATGAAAGCAAATTTAAATTATGTATAAAGAAACATTTATGTAAACTAGCATACTACAAACTAAATGATTATATACAAGATAAAAATGCTTGGAGGCTAGCTGGTCCTACTCCACAGGATGTTTAGAGTATTTTTTTGATTTTAATTATTAAATTGTACACTATGTTGTTAATTGTTGATGAATTTCTAAGATTTTGTAAATGTGAGTGCCCTGTAACCTATTATAATTAAGTAAGACTTCTAGAATATAGGTACTTCTGTCGGCTGGGAGCTGTCATGCTCACTCAGAGGTCTCATTGGCGGTGGCACGGGCACTGGATCGCCCAATTCCCTATAATATGGTTGAGTTGGGCGGTGCTGGTGTACGTGTCATGTTCGTGAACGGGCGCCGCCTATTGGGACTGGTCATCTCCAGGCTGTCTAAATATGTTGTCCTTGAGGTTCACTTCTTTTTCGTACTTTTTGCCTGAACATTAGTGTTACATTGTTCTCACATATCAGAACCGACTAAATGATGTAACAAAGAAATTTGTGTTGTAAAACTGATTGAAAAAGAGTAACCATGGAGTTTCTTGCTCGTTCTTCTCCATAGGAATCTACACTTTGGAACGAGCAAATAGCTTCACTAGAGGACAGACGGACAGACTGACACGCTTAATTTTAAAGCTCTTGTTATATACTATTTTCCTTTTTTGCTTGCTTGACGTTCAAAAGTGCCTACTGTGGTCTAATTGAAATAAATGATTTTTGACTTTTGGCTTTTGAATTAATTCTTTGAGAATGTCAAAGGTATTTTATGCCGAGTTCGGGTACTTGGCTTGTCTTCTAGAGTTTCAATACTTAAATTGTAAATAAGTCTCAAAAATGTATAGACACGGTAAAGGTAAGAAGTTTAATTTTTAAAACAGTGCCTTACAGCTGTCTAGAAAATGAGCATTTTTTGGCATTTAAGGACTATATGTATATACACACACCTACACGTAAAGTAGGGAATGTTTTCATTGATATATTGTTGGCTAGGTATTGAAAAATAAATAGGGGTTTACTAAGACAATTTTTGATTAAGTATTTAATATTTACGGAAATAATTGCTCGAAAGTTAAAAAAGGCGTCGCCTTCCCCCTCCCCCGGCTAACGATCTCAGGTTAGAAAATATGGAAAAGTCTTGAAAGTACATCTTCATACATTATTTCTAAGAAAATTATTGTGAACTAGATAGAATGAACAGTTTTTGAAATATTGTACAAAAAAAAATCGGAAATAATTTTGTAATTTAACCGTAATATTATGCAAGCAGTTTATTAACTTTTTTTGTATATTTTATTATTCTGAACGTATCCTCTTGTCCAATATTACCAACTTGTCTAGAGATGGCGCTATACTAATCGCTACTTACGCGGAATCGCGGTTTTAAAACACTATCTCACTCATTGTGCCAGACGAAAAGCTAGGGAACCCTACGCTGAGCGTAGCCCGATATGCTCTTGGCCGATATTTTTTATTGTATAATTTTGACGTTTTATATAAAAGTGGTGTTTTCGACATTCCATGTTTCGCTCACGATTATTTTTCAAAGAAAATATGAAAAGTACTCATGCTAAGTCATGTCTGGTATTCAGAGGGCAGCAGCGTGTCCTCCGGTGCCCGGTTGTGGCCCTGTAGGGAACTGGGAGGATAAATAAAACGCTGGGACTACATTAACTGATTGATTTATTCGTTGACTCCTCGGCAAACTTAATTGGTCCACCTTTATTGCTTCTAACTAGTCGCGCACAAAGGGCCGCGGGGCGCGGGCGCGGGCGCGGGCGGGGCGCGGGGCGCGGGGCGCGGGGCGCGCGGGTCGGTGGACCAGCGAAGTGGCCGCGGCGGCGCGCGCCGCTCCTACTCGAGACACTTAACCTAGCTATGTACAAAATTAGTACCCGTTTAAATGAATGTATATCGAGTCTATTTACACGTGAGGAGGGGTGCGATGACGTCACTGCGCACTCGGCGCCTGCGCCTGCCCCGGAGAGGCGGGCTGCGCCGCGGACGGCGCGCCCGGCGGCTCGGCGCTGGACAGGCGCGCGAGCGTCTTGTACAGCGGCGAGTTGACGAAGCGCGGGTACGAGTCGCGGTGCATCAGCGTGTAGATCTGCAGCTGCGCCTCGTCGAAGGTGTGCGGCGTCGGCTCCACCATGTTGCGGTTGACGATCTCCCGCACGCGCGAGTCCAGCGACACCTGTAACAGCGGTCGGTCAGAGAAGGCAGGCGCGGGGGGGGCAGCGGGCGGACGTCAGCGGCTCACCTCCTTGGGCGACAGGATGGAGATGTAGTCCTCGTAGATGAAGCGCGCCTTCTCCTCGACGGCGTCGGGGTCTGTCTCTCGCTTGAGCTCTTCGCACGCGAGCCAAAACATAATGTTCTCCTCAGAGTACTCGCCGCGTAGGAAGTCGCGAAACACTTTCCGTCCGGCTGAAACACGCAAAGTACCACGTTTTTATATCTACGCTCTGTCTCGTACACAACACTTCTTACTTCTATTCCAAATTTTAACAAGATCCGCTCTATTTGGACATTATTGGCTAAAACTGAAGCCCGGTGTTTCTCGTACGAAACATTTACCTAGTTTCCAGTGAGCTGTGAGTATAATACGGATAAATGATCGACCTATGTTGGGATAGTTGTACAAAAGAGTCGCGGGCCCTGTTTGGTATAATAGTGGTGTCGGTTCCTGGAACATTCTACATATGTGACGTAGAGCCAAGTTCTGATATGTGGACCAACGAACACTCACATAGGTTTCTTTAAAATGAGTTTCACCGAAAAGCCTGATTGCAAAATATGAAGGTGTATAATAACAATTATGTGGTACATATATCCAATACTAGCTGTTTCTGCGCGGTTTTTACCGTAGCATTTGTCGATAAATGGATTATCCTATATATACATTTTTTTTTCAATTCGAGCTACTAGTCCTTGAGAATAACGCGATCACACAAACTCTATAAATTCTTGCAAATAAAAAAATTATTATTAAAAAAACAAAATACCCGACTGCACACTAAAAAAAGAGTAAAACAAGCCCCACAATACAAATTTACTGAATATAATTTATAAATGTTGATGGAAAGCATCGCAGGCGGGGACCAACAGAGGCTTATAGTCATTTCTGTTGTGCACCATTTAGCAGAATTTTCGTTGGTGGCGGTCAAGGTGGTCCCCGCCTGCGATGCTTTCCATCAACATTTATAAATTATATTCAGTAAATTTGTATTGTGGGGCTTGTTTTACTCTTTTTTTAGTGTGCAGTCGGGTATTTTGTTTTTTTAATAATAATTTTTTTATTTATAACTTTTTCCCGTGGGAATTTTGAGAAAAAACGTATCCTATATTAATTACTCCCGTGATTGAAATGAATCTAATGATACCGCATACATATTTTTTTAAAGGAAAATTTAGAAAAAATATTATTATGTCTTTATCCCGTGGGACTTTTAGGATAAAATGTATCCTATGACACTCCCGTAATCAAGACAAATCTAACGATACCTCATACATCAAAATCCATCAAGCCGTTTAGGCTACAGGAGGTCACAAAGGAAAAGACATACATACATACTTACATACACTCGAAAAACATTACCCTCCTTCTTTGGCAGTCGGGTAAAAAACGGGCATTCTAGATTTTTCTCTACTTCAATGAAGAAGAACAAGAGATTGGTTTTACTAGTTTGACGATATTTGGCATAGTTATTTGAAGTATCCTGGCATTATTCTTTAAGTTCCAAATTTAAAATTGGAAATTAATTAAAGAAAAATAATGATTATAGCCCTATTTTAAGAAGGTAGTTCGCAAACTTACGTGTCTCAGCGGCTAAATGTAAGTCATTCAACTGTCCAGAGGACTTGACCACGGTATCAAGAGACCGATTCGGTCAAAAGAAAACCCGGTTCGGGAAGAAAATGATGCACAAAATCAAGAGATGACCGCTTTGGTGAGTCGGGCGTTGCGGAATCGTAAGGCGTCAAGTATGGACCTACAGAGGAGCTTTGAAGAAGTAAGAAGCGTAGAAGTTAGCCTGTGGACGACCAAGAGGAGGCTTTTGGCTGCCAATATCAGGAGTTACCGCCCAGCTCAGGCCCTAAATTACTGCGTAAGCACCGTGTTGCTCGACGCCAGCTTGCTCGGAACTGTGCTTGACTGAAATAAAGTATTGTTTTCTAATAAAGCTAGAATCTATTTGCGTGGAGAGGACTGACGCCAATGAGTGCTGCGAAGACCACAGGAATGCTATGCGGAAATGTGTTTCGAAGAAACCACTCCTTATAGCGGAGGCTCCGTTATGCTTAGGACAGCAATTAATTCGACGAAGCTTACGGTACATAATGGAAATCCTAATTACCATTGGACAACCCCCATTGGCTGCACTCGGGAAAGATTCCATTTTCATGGACGACAATGCTCGCTCGCACCATTCTGGCGACGTGGAAACGTTCACGCAAGAAGTTGGGATCCGTAGTTTAGATTAGCCAGCTCGAAGTCCAGACCTCAATCCAATAGAGTATGTCTGGGATGTACTAAAGAGACGGGTAAGACCAGTGCAACCTGCTCCTCCTGGAGCTAAAGAGAGTCATTGCAGACGACTAGAAACGTATTCCTCAAAACTTTATTAAGAACATTGTAAAAAGCATGCCCAGAAGGCTTCAAGCTGTGATTTGGCAAGAGATCACATTTGAAAAATCTTATCTTTATTGCAAACCACTTCTGATTGTTTGGGCGTGTACTTATTTTAAAGAATCCATCGGTTTTTTTATTGGTCCAAATTCACTTCAAGCGCATTAATTTACACGATTATAGGTACACAGACTACATTAACTTAAATCAACTTTAGAACGCACCTTAAGTGCCCGTTTTTTTTTGCAAAGGTGTGTATATAATATGAAAATATACTTATTATTATTAAGCATTATTCACCATTTTACTTCACCTCTCTCGTAGGTAATTACTCGAGCAATTTCTAAGGACAGGGCTTCTTACTCCGCGCGCCGACAACATCTACTCGTATAGCGAACGAACTACCGCTTATATTGCACCCAGACTTATGAAAAGCTTAGCCTCACAAATAAAAAATATTATTACGCCATAAAATGCAATATTATATAAGTGCCGCTTATCTAAGTTTTTCATAATTGTTAACGTACATTAACGTATATAATACTTATTTGTATTCGTGTCAGGTTGAAATGATTATTGCGTTGGTCGTTCGCTTTGTAACAAGTAGACATGTAATAAAGGGGTATTTTAAAAATGTGATATAGCTTAATGTTGTCTATCCTCGTCAATTGGTCGTTCTAAGGATACTGCAGCACTCGCTACGTACCTGCGCTGCGCATGAGGCGGTCGAACGACTGGCCCCAGCTCTGGATCTCCTCTAACGTGGGCCTGCAACAGAGTGCGCTTGCTGTTACCTTCCGGAGTAAGTGCGCGCGTGAGGGTCAAAGTGGCATGAGTACTGTGCTCACTCAATCGTGGCGGGGCAAGTGGCTGCTGACGTGCAACGTGTCGCCGGTTCGATTCCCACAACACTGTGTAATCCACAAATTGTTGTTTCGGGTCTGGGTGTCATGTGTAAAGGCACCCACGACACAGAGATCCTAGTGTGAAATTTTGTTATTACGTATTGACATTGATCTGAAATAAAGACTATACATTACATGATTATTATAATATTTAACGGAAAGAAGGAAAACTTATTTATTCGGTACCAGGCACGATGTACTAGCGAGAGGAACTGGGAACCCGTCTGCTCTTGCTGCGAAGCAGTGATGCTCGCAAAGGAGGAGGCGGAGCGCGTGAAGGAACTATCCTCCTCGCGCCCCAGCCGCCGCAGAAGGCGACATTCCGGGCGTCGGGGATCGAGAGATGATCTCCGGCCACCGTAAGCGCGGGTCTGCGGGCGGCGAGTAAGAGTAGCTCGCCGACCGAACAGTACCAGACCCGAGCGTACGGCGCGTAGCATTCCGCGCGCGCCTCAAAGAGCCAATAGACCACCACAGACGGGGCCCTATAGGGCTGATGTTCAGCCGGGGTTGCGGGGTAAGCGCAATGAGGCAACGCGACCTCGGCCCAGAGCAGGAGAAGGAACGGGGGGGTTTGTAGTCAGTGAGAGTCTGACTCTCTCGTCTAACCCTGGGAGAAGTCGTTTGATGATTTTCCCCTGACAAAAAAAGGCACACCTGACTAAAATATTTATAAAAACAATAAAAATGAAATAAAACATTTAAACTAAAACAGAAAAAACGAGGCGACATGCCACGCCAAACGGGTTGCCATTGAGTACCTAATTAAGTAAAAATCCTAAGTAATAATTAGTTAATGAAGGCCAACACAATGTAGCTGCTGTTAACCATTGAGGAGTTCCCTTTGCTATCGTTCTACTTAATCACCAAACATCTAATGCCAGTCGCACCTCTTCAAGGTGTAACGCTCCCAACACTAAGTTATCGGGCCAAAGCACGAGCTCATTGCTGCTTGCTGTAAGCTTCCGAGGAGTTCTCGCGGCTGTATTTCAAATCCGTCATCAGCTCCAGATCCTCATTACATTGTAGTCATTGAAATACGAAAGTGACCCTCGGGACCCATCGTCAGACGATACGTTGGTGACAATGATACCACTTTTAAAGTAGAACCTTTCGAACAAAAAAGGATCTATAAATAGACAAACTCATCCACGAATGTGTGCCTCCATAAATAAACAGCATACATTCAAACTGAGAAACCTCCTAATTTTCGGGAGTCGGTTAATAAAGTCTTTTATGTCCTAGTACGTAAAATATGGAAATAAGTTGCAGTGGACGATTGAGACAAGCAAAAATGTATAAACAAATGATGCGGCTGCTTGCAGATGTGCTTCATGCACTTTCTATGGAGCCGCGATTACTTGATAATTATTTATAGACTGTTTCCGTACACACGATGATTCAATCGAAGTGAATAATTACAAGCAGGTGGACATTAAGTCGGGGTCGGCTTGACCGCAGTGATACCACGGCCTCACAGAAAACCGGCGTGAAACTGAGCTGTGTAAGCTAAGTTACTAGAGGCTCTATCCACAACACTAGGTCGGTAACTCCTCTAGTGTAGCGGTCGCCCATGAGAGTGCCGATTGCTTACCATCAAGTTCCGTCGGATCACATTAAATATATAGAACAGAGGCTTTTGTCATGTTTCAGTAGTTCATTCTAGAGTCTGGTGCTCTCTACCGATCCAGAGAAACAATACATTTAACGTGTATTTTTTAACCAGCCGGACACGTCAACATGGCTGCACTTGTATCCAACGAAGTATAAGAGGACCGAGTTTTATTTAAATTTCTGCTTGTATTTCGTGTCTCAGCAAAAGAGATAAAAACAAAATATTTCAAGACACGGTTAGCTTAAAAGACCTGGTGTTCCATAATGAAAATAGTCAGAAATGATGCAAAGTATGCGCTGTGAACGGGAATGGATCGACTTATTTCCCTGTTGAGAGCCCCGCGCCCGCGCCCACGCCCGCGCCCCTACCTACTCGACTCGAGATAGTTAGCGTGGCTTAGCTTTACTGAGTACAACAATTACGTCCTACGTCCTAGTGGGGAGAGTGCAAGCTGCAAGAGGAGTAGTAGAGGTGAGGGTACTCACGGCGCGTCTCCGTCGCTGAGAGGCGGCTCCTGCGGGCCTGGCTCCGGCTTCTTGCCGGGCCCGCCCTCCGAGCCGCGCACCGCCAGGCTGCACAGTTGCAAACGTTACACTTGGCTCGCTCGGAGCCGCCGCCGCGCGCCCGCGCCGCCGCCCGACGTGCCTGCTCACTGCTCGTGAGTCGAAGCTTATCTTACTAAAGCGGCAGCGAGCCACCAGCTTCGAGGATGTCCACAGTACGTGGGCTGGCGGCGGCGGCGCGCGCGGCTACTGCCTACTGAATACAGGCGGACAGGGCGCGCGACCTCTCTGCACTCACCATTTAGCCCTGGAATAGAACAAAGGGAGCTGTCACCAATCAATGCCGCTTATTTGCTATTTATGTGTATGTGGAGTGTCACTCTACAATAACAACAAGATCGACTAGACTTGTGTGTGTGCGTGCGGCTTCTGATATACCTACGCGGTGCAAAGATGTCACTGTGTGTAAACAATAATAATAATACTTCTATAATCTGTATGTATATCACTCATATATTTTGGTTTACTACTAGTACTAGACCGCGTTGTAATGAAATATATTTCTGCGTCGATTTTTGTATTTGAAATACAAAATTTTTATATAAACAATGATCAGTGTCCCAGCTAAACATTCACTCGTGCTCAACATTTTTCCCCCCTTCACCAGGTGACTGCAATGGTACTGATTGAGACACATTACTCTGCTAATTGTGACACATCATCTAGAAGAGGATGTAGGCCGCTGACAGAAGCAAGACACGTGCAGGAGGAGGGGTGGGTACTGACCAGGAGCAGGAGCAGCAGCAGCACCAGCACAGACAGCAGGGCTTGGCGGCGGCGGCGGCGGGCCGGCAGCCGCGCGCCAGCGCTGCCAGGCTGCACATCTGCAACACGCGAGCGCCGCTCTGAACATCGTGCCGCGTCGGGCTCCGCACTGAGTCGTCGACTACTGCAGTACAGGGGACGCGGCTCCACTGTCTCAGATACACTCAGCTACTGAACTACACGCGCGGGCTCACAACAATGACCATGTGTTCTAGTGGAACGTAAACACAGCGCGCGGACTGTTTACATTACACACATCTGACTACTGCGGGCGCAGACGCTGGCCGACCGGCTGCTAAACAACATCCATGGTTCGATTCCAATTCTTTATGTTATCTGCAATCGTTGTTCGTTCGTTACCACGGATAACTAGCTCTACCAATCATTCAATGAACTACCTAATCAGTAAGCAGTGCGGTTTAACTAGATACTTATTAAGCCAAAACAAACTTTCATTTTCTGCCACGCATAGCGCCATGTCAGGCGCTCACATCATTCGGGTTGTCAATATGACAGACTTTCCAATTTTACATCAGCCTCAGACCAAGATATGAATTATTGGTCTGAGACATCAGCACATACCAGTCATTCGAGTTTAGCGTAAGAAGTCGCGGATTTGAAAACGACTCATAAACTTTAAAACAGTTAGATCTCTGTTCTATCGAATGGTTGCTAGCGCGTCCTAACGTACACACGCACAAACACAGGTGTACCCTAAGCCAAGCAGGCATCGTGTCTGTCGAATGGACCGAAGCATGGCGAGTCGGGTGTCTGTGATTATATTATTGCAATATCGTGACGGCTTTAGTTCAGCGACAGGCCGCGGGCAGCTGGGGCGCTGTGACCGACCACTTCCTACTTCCTGGACTTGTGTGCGCCGCGTCCTGCCAGCTACTGAGCTATACAAGTAACATGGTCGTTGTTATTGCACCAAGACCACAGCTTGGTACGTCAAGGCCGGCTCTCAGCTACACTAACGAACCAACGCAATCCAGCTAATAAGCATAATGCAATGTAGTTTAATCGTATTAGTAACATTCTGTCACACTAATCAATTAATTTTGAGATATATTCTTACTGTATGAGTACTTATTCAAATACGTAAAAGGATTCACATTGAATACTATACAAGTGTTTGCTCATTTTGATGACATTTAATTTTAACGTTACCCGTGAGATACAATAATGAAGGCCTTACTATAGTCAGTGTTCAGCCCGAGCAACGTCAAGCCCAGAAGCTAGTACATCACGATACAGGTAATAGCTACATTTGATTTGACAGTGTGTGTTATGTACCAGGTGGAGGTACCGAAGCAGGGCAGCGTCACAGCGCATCGATGCACAGTACTCGCGGTACCTAGTAGGGAAGTACAAGCAGCCAGCTAACAATACCATTCCTTATGGCTGCACATAGAGTGGCCGGCGGGCGCACGCTGCCGGGCGACGCCCTGCCCCGCGCCTCGGCTGTCCCATCATTGCGGCCGACATGTTGCTCAAACAAGCTCTGTTTAGTAGCAAGATAGCAACACGCGGGTACTTGTTGTGGCACACTTCATCAAAGGCACAGAAATATTAATTGTGAGATAAATTGTTGGGTGTTCTGCATGATCGTACAAGCCCACGACACACGAATAATTCCTAGTGCAGGGAAACGTTTAACGAAAATGATTTAATACGTTGTTGCCGATTCTGCGTACAACCTGATTAATGTAATGAACATGGGATCTGCGCTCGAGAGGGTAAATTGTAGTAATGGCGGGCGAGTGCTGAGCGAGCAGCTGGTGGAAGCCACGGCAGCAGCGATGACGCGAAAATAAACAGCGTTTGGAGGGTAGTAGGTGAGGGTCGGCGAGCGGGCGCGGCGCGGGCGCGGAGTATTTATAGCGCGTCCTCATTGAGGCGCGCGGCGTGTTTACTGCGCCACGCTATTCCGGTCGCCATTGTAAACAACGGCTCGCTCGCGGCCCTGCGGTGACACATACACGCCAGTCGCCGCTCCTGGACCACACTACTGAGCACACTGCACACTCGCACTACGTGGCCCGCGCCCGCTCGATGCCAGGGCGCAGCGCGGGCATGCGCGGCGCGGCGCCGGCCGATCGATGCTCACCTGCGGCGGGCGGCTCGCCGGCCACGCCGGCGCTAGGCGCGCGGGCGCGGGCGCGGCATGCGGCGAGCGCGCGGCCGGCGGCGGGCGAGGCGAGGGCTGCACGGGGACGGGCCGCGGTCGGGGCGCGACTGACGCCCGGCGCCGCGCGCCTCGCTCCCGCCGCGCCGCGCGCCGCCGCGCCTGCGCGCTGCGCTCCACTAATGCGGTCAGCCGCCCGCCCCCGCCCGCGCGCCCGCCCCCGCCCTCGCCCCGCCGCCGCCTGCTCGCGGAACGTGATCGCTTCTGTCCCTCGTCAGCACTATGAATGAATGGCACTCGATGATGCACTCGGCGACTCGATCATTAGATAACTCTGCGACTACAACAGCAACACACGAACTCACACGGTCGGCCCGTGAAGGCGTCGTGCATCAGACATTCACCGGCTGGTGTCGTAAGCGTAAGTACGGACGAGAGCGCAGGTCTCCGAGCGGTAACAGCGCAGGTTCAGCGGGGGGTCAGTCGCCTGTCGCTGTCAGATAACATAGATAAGTGCGACTGGCGCAGGAAGCCAACTCTTGCCTACGTACACGTGTGCTTACTGGGAACGGAGCCTTTAATAGAGCAAGTACTACCACATTGATTTAACTCAATTATAACCAAACAACAGGGACCCACACTGGTAACTAACGCACTGCTAGGCTTTTGTTAAATAATTTTCAGGTAGGTAGCCAATAGCTAAGTTTCATACAGTATATAATATCATTATTACGACTGTTTTAATGTATTAATTCCACCTAGTTGTGTGGAAGTTGAGACGCCATGTTAACGCAGAACCTACCACGATTGAGCGCTACGGCTACACCGTAGCAAGTGACTACGACGCGACAGTTCGCCGCTACGCAGGCTACACAGCACCGCGCTGGCGCTCGCTACGCGCTGCTACCGCGTAGCTCGTAGGTCGTAGCACCAGGGTATCGGCATCGATCGAACGCTCGATGATCATGACACATACAGTGAGTACATTGCTTGCACTAATTAGTTGTCGTCTCGCACATGCGACTGTACTCTTATCGAAGTACACAACTTTCACATGTTGTTGTCCGACATCTAAGTGTGAGAACTCGTGCTTAGGGCACTGACTCGGCAGGTGCTGAGATACCACGGCGCTGACAGGAAACTGGCGTGAAGCAAAACTTGCGCACCAATTCCAAATAGACGGCAACGCAATGTCCTCTCCTCTGGTGTTTCAGGTGTAAATGGGTGGCGTAAATTGCTTACCATCAGGTTTGCTACCCGCTCGTTTCACCTTACAAATAAAGAAGACAAGTAGCTACTTGATAAACCAAATTTGAAAGCAGCTTTTAGTTTGGTATAGCATGTGAGCGTGAGCGTTACGGAGCGTACTCGCACCGCGTGCTGCAGTAGCTGCCGGTTTCATTCGCCGACCTGTTGAAAGCGCGCATTTGTCATTTCATTTTATCGCAATATATAGAATAGCCTCGCACCGGAGCCTGGCACGCTGCAGTGTTTAGCAACTGAGCATAGGTATCTGTAATTAGTTATGGTGTGGGAGACGCTGATGTACCCCGCCGCCCCGCGCCCCCCGCGCCCCCGCGCCCCCGCGCCCTCGCCCGCCGCACTCCGCAACGATTAATGACGAGGCCTCTTTGTTCCCGGAAGAACACGCAGATCCGAGCTCCATGTGTTGTGGGGACCGACCAGGAGCTGTGGGAGCGGCCGAGACATGTACTTGCTACGCGCTGAGTACAATACACTGTTGCAGCCTGCTGAACCAAGAATATAGTCATGACCCATTACACATCACATTTGTTTGTTAACCTAGATACAGATCTAACTTCACTTATTGTCCGTTTGCTAAAATGTCGAAACTACAGTTGGTAGAAAAATATGTTTGGCAAGAGGTTTACATGGGGCAGGTCGTGGAGCAGGCGGCAGGCGCAGGCAGTAGCGCGGCTGCCGGTAGTGGGCCGCGGAGGCGGAGGCAGACAATGCGAGGCCCGGGTCAATACCGGCCGCGGCCGCGTGAATGGAAGCGGCGGGCGGGTGGCGGGCGGCGGCGGCGGCCGGGGCCGGGGGGCGGAGGGCGATCGATGGGCGGCGGGTGGCGTCAGTCGCGGCCGGCGCGCCGCGCGGTGCTGAGGTGTCGCCCCCGCGCCGACCGCGCGCGGCGCCCGCACCTGGGCCGCGCCTGACGCCCCCTCGCGATCGATACGCGCCCGCGCTACTCCTTCCATCGCGCCGGCTTCAACGCCGGATCAATAACTTGGCTTGCACTCTATCGGAGCCCACCGACTCTTGACCCCAAATTAACAGAGGCAACATATTACAGGCACGTGTTACATCATATTGTTTGACCGTGTTGCTTGCCGGGCTGAGGCATTGTGTAGGTGGAACAGGTTCATTCAGAGGACCGGACAAGCCCGTACCTTTGGCACTCTCACAACACGAGCCCTCTCGCCCTCGCACCCCACCCCTGTACCCTCCACACGAATTGAGAATTAGAATGTCAGTTAGGTTTTGTGGCTCAGTAATTTAACTGCTCAGTTAGGTAAGTACTTATTAGGAGCCGACATCAGGAGAAACTACTTGCGGTGCAGTGGCCAGCCTGTGTCCGCGGGGAGTCGGGCCCTCGGGGGTGCGAGGGGCGCGGGGCGCGGTGCAGCTGCAAAGGGGGAGGGCCATGGGGCTGACACCTCGTGCCCCACGCGCCGCCACACGGGGCTCATGTCCCGCGACGGGCGCCCAGCACCCAGCGCGCGTCGTTCCGTCGTCGCCACGCATTGCCCGACCGCCGCGCTATTGTTTCTGTCATGTCGTATTTAACACACACACCTCGTGTATGCATTACGCGTTCATGCTTAAACTTCTGACTTTCTATATATAGATCATCAATCTGTCTGATGTGATACAATCAGTATGTAACCACAGTGCTAAGTAGGTATTTCTGTAGCGATTGAAGCGCGACAAAATACGGT